TTGCCATGCTGTTTATTGATGTGGCAAATGAATGGTTTATGAAAACATATCTAAATCTGTCATCAGTAATGATCATGTCTCACCTCTAGTCTTCTGTCTTAATTTCAGGTTTTCACTATGTGTTGTAGATAGTTCAGGAGATTAACTCGACCAAGCAGTCTGCTTTTGGGTACTGTTTAGAATACCAGAATAGGGAGGATGGTTTAAGTTTATTAGATTGATACATATATACCAACAAGACAGTGTACATCACTGTGACAACAGCGTTTGTTTTCATTCAAAGGCTTTATGGTTTTTCCTATAATACCTGGTGGGCCGGTCTAAAGTCAAAATGCCCGGGCCGATTATTTTTTTTTATTTTTTATTTTTATTTATTTTTTGGTCCCAGTCCAGCCCTGTTTGTACATCCTTTACGGCACAGTCACCCACAATCAGTTTCATGCCTAGCCTTTAGCTTTCCCTGTGCCTTTTACTTTTCAACAGATTTTCAGACCTAAGCTACTTTTAGATGGCTGGTTGTCGGATATAGATCCAGGGTCCTTTGATAGTGGAGCAAATCTGGTCTGCAGGTTCACATTCAGTTGGTTTGGAGGTTTGTTGTTAACCTTCCTATTCACAGTGGTCCAGTCCTGTTTCCTCTCGTATACAGGGGTAGAAGAGCTTCTCTGTCTTGTAGGAAGTGAAGGCCAGTCGGTTTCAGAGATTTCAGCTTGCTGTGCCCTGCCTGTGATACGTCCTTCCCCTTCCAGGAGACATGATTTATGTCTTGGTTTTGCACCAAGACAGTCCAAGGGGGATTATCGCTTGAGGATTTATTATAATGCATCGTCTACTTTCTTGGTCATGTTATCTGTGCTCCTTAGCTGTGTACTAGCTTGCTCATCGCCATTGTTTTGAATCAAAGGCAAGGTTGTTTCATTTCCACACAGTCCATTTACCTCCACGTTTACTTCTAAGCAGTGTTGGGTAAGTTACTTTAAAATAGTAACTTAGTTACATTACTAGTTCTCTCAAAAGTAACTCTGTTACTTCAAGTACCTAAACTTGGTTTATATCTGACCCAGATAGACTGCAGGTCATAACTTCTTACCTGAAGTTCAGTTCACACTCAGACCGGCGGCTGCTTCGGGTCTCTCCTCTTGCCTCCCTTTTCCTTCATCCACCTGCTGGCCTCCACCACTTGCTAATGTTACTGAATCTGTGGAAGCTCCGCGATAGCCACCACATGAAGTAACGAGTAACGACCCTATCTAAATCCCAGTAACGACTAACGCGTTCCTGATTTTGGCATAACTAGTTACCGTGCTCGTTACCACAATAATAACGTAGTTACTGTAACACGTTACTTAATAACGCGTTATTCCCAACACTGCTTCTAAGTGATGAATTTTTGTCTCCAGTACTGCAATCTTCCGCAGGAGGCTGTGGTAGTTATCTGTGGAAAGGGAAGGCATCTTGTTGCTAGTTAGCCTAGCGGTTAGCACCTTCCGAGGGTATTGAGGCTGTTCGGTGCCCAGATGCTGTAATCAGGCTTCAGCTGTGTCTAGGCCACAGACACACGGAGTGCTGAAGATACAGTAACTATAAAAATGTTGCTGTTTCTGTTAAGAATGCTTTAGTCCTAATGATTTATAAGTGCCCAGAAGCTATTGCAGGTAAGCTCATATGGAAAAAAGGGAAAAAATCAGCATAAAAGAAGCAAAGCATTTAAAGAGGAAGCGTCCACACTCACAAAAGGGGGAGGAGCAAAGGCTTTTAAGGGAACATAGGAGAAGGACTACCTTTTAAAAGATTTAATTCGCTTCAGCAGTTGACATGACAAGTTACAGTGCTGGACTTCGATGTGAACCAGCTCTCTGCTTCATAGACAGAATGACCCTGTAAACGGGCAATACAGTTTTATACCACAACAAAAACAAGTGTTATGATTAACTTCTTTTGGGAAATGACAAAGCTGGTCCTGCTGTCTCCGAGTGGATCTTCTCCTGTACTTCATCCACATTTGACCTCGTCTTGCATTTGCTCCTTTCCTGGAAAAAGTAAAACACCTCACTAACCTAACCTTGCTGCATTAGCTCAGGCTTGTTTTCTACTCATTATCTAAGTCTGGGACAGTCTGCTCCGACTCCCTTGGCCCAGAAAAATATCACTCTGACTTTAACCAGTTAAGATGTGTAAGGATGTTTGCAAACCCTTCTGCAACTCAACATGTCAGTCTCAATAATTAACTAGTGCTAAATGAATGCTTTTGACCCTTATTACACAGAGTGCCAACTCTTTAGTGAGCACAATTGCAAAATGTATATAAAAAGGTCACAAAAACAGTTTTACTTGTTTTATTCCTAACACGAACACAGCTAATGGCCTCAAACATGTAAACAATGAAAGACTTTCCATCTCTTAACTTTTGACGATGCTTCACTGTTGAAAGCCAGCAGGATTGGGAGTGTTTTACCATCTGAAATAGTACTAAATATTTCTTTAGAAACTCTTAGATAAAAAGATGGCTCCAAATGTTTTGCCATGGCCAAAGAAAAAAGTTTACTGCAGTAAACTTTTCTTTACTCTTGATCTGTCACTCTACTAAGCTGTTAAATATTTGGTGTTTTGCAGGTATACCAACAGGTATGAGTGGAAATGGAGATAAGGTCAGAAACCAATTTTATTTTTTAAAAATCTTAAAGATTCCGTGTCATACATTTTACACATGGTAAACAGTGATTTTTTTTTTTTTTTTTTCAGAAGCTAGTAAGTACTTTTGAAGAGGGAGAAATGGAGAGACTTCTCAGCATTCTTCACCTCCAAAATGAAAAAGCAGAAAAGATGTCGACTGCAAAGTTTCTTAAAATAGGTCCACCTGTGCAACAGAGCCTTGAAACATCTGAAAAATCTCTGGCTTATACTTTTCTTCAGAGATTGATGATGTTAGACTACAGAGCTAGATATATTACTGTAAGACAAGCTCCTTCTGTGAGCCGTTCACAATCTGATCCAGTGCATGGAAGGGATGACACTGATGATGATTATGATAATAATGATGATGATGATGATGATGATGCCCTGTTTAGTGATAGAGTAGACCTAGATGAATCAAAACAGTCACATGTGCATCCAATGGATGTTCAGATGGCAGTATTTCACTGCTCAGACAGTTTTCTGAAGCAGAACCTGGTTACAAAGCTGTCACAGTGTCAGTACGCCTTACCTTTGCTTGTCCCTGACCCAGTTACAAAGGATATTGAATGTCCTTTGTGGACATTCAGGCCGATAACAAAAACATGGACAGTAACTCAAATCAAGGATAATTCAAATGTTGATATCATGAACTCTATGCAAATCTGCAAAGCTGAGACACCAATGGTATCATTCTTCCGCCTGGGTTCACTGCCAGTGTCAAAATCTCAGCTCATGAACACTGTGATCAATGACCGTCACAGCACCTTCTTCCACAGAAACAGTCCAGGTAGCACCAAATCTCGCCTGCTGATGGATGGTGTGGCAGAGATTGCCTGGTACTGCCCTGCTGGAAAACCCAATGACTCCTTTACTGACTGCATTGCCTTTTGTAATCTTCATGGTGATGCTCTGTCATTTGAAAAACAGCGTGAGATACTGACAGAAAAATCATCAGTCACTGTTGTTCTTGTGCCAACTCTGGAAAAAGGCCAGAAAAGTACTACTGTCATCCAAGACCTTTTCAAGTCACCAAAGCCTCTCATTATTCTCGTTGCTGATAATGATTGTGGTGTAGTTCAAGTGAAAAAGAGAAAATACAAAATGGGTCTGAAAGATAGAAACCAGTCAGATGTTTCTAAAGAACTAAAAGAAATTATCACAAAAATTTTATCTAGACCTCACACATTCTTCCAGCTTGAATCCATGGCTGAGGTCCCTGGAGTCACAGTGGATGAAGATGATGAAGTCTGTCAAAAGGGGAAAGCTGCTGCAATGCAAACAGTTAAAATGTTTCAGGGGATGAAAATTTCAAAGATCAAAGAAGAATTTCTCCCTTGTCAAGGTGATCTTTGGCATGAATGGTGCAGAATAAATAAAGAGCTGTATCACCTTAAAGGAAACACTGAGATGGAAAAAAGTAAAAAAGAACAGCAAATGATGGAAATACGACAAAATCAATGCAAGGCCTCATGTAGTGAAGTTATTAAGTCATTTACAGATAGCCTCTTGTCTTTTCCAACTAAAGAGAAGGAGTATTTCCTTAAATGGACTCAGATCTTAATAGATGCCCTATCCACAGATGATCTCTCTTCAATTCTCCATATCTATGAGGAAACATGGACTGAAGTTGTTTCTCTAAAGAAGAAAGTTGATAAATCTGCTTTGTTAATAAGGAAGCAAAGTGAACTTGAACAAATCTCCAAAAAACTGCAGTCTGTAACCTTTGGCTTGGAGCACATCTTCAGAGAAATGGGACAGATCTATGAAGCCCATAGAGCAGTACAAGCAGAGAGTAGTCACACTGAATGGGTTAAATACCCTGAACTGGCTGCAGCTATGATGATTTCAGGACACCCAGTGGAGCTGATGGATGGTGATGCAGGTCATGTCCCATTAACATGGATCTCCAGTCTTTTGGATGAAGTTATCAAAAAACTAGGCGACCAGAGAGTTTTTGTGTTGTCAGCTCTGGGCGTACAAAGCAGTGGAAAGTCAACAATGCTGAATGCCATGTTTGGATTGCAGTTTGCAGTGAGTGCAGGCAGGTGCACCAAAGGTGCCTTCATGCAGTTGGTCAAAGTGTCAGAGGAAATCAAGGTCAAAGTGTCAGAGGAAATCAAGGTCAAAGTGTCAGAGGAAATCAAGGTCAAAGTGTCAGAGGAAATCAAGAAAGACTTCCAGTTTGACTATTTTCTAGTGGTGGACACTGAAGGACTAAAGGCAGGCAACACCACTCTTCATCACGACAATGAACTGGCAACATTTACTGTTGGCCTGGGAAACATGACACTGATCAATATCTTTGGTGAGAATCCAGCTGAGATGCAAGATGTCCTACAGATTGTTGTTCAGGCTTTCATGAGGATGAAGAAGGTTCACCTTTCCCCGAGTTGTGTGTTTGTTCATCAGAATATTACAGATATTGGAGCTCCCAAGAAAAACATGGATGAAAAAAGACACCTACAAGAAAGATTGGATGAGATGGCTCAGCTAGCTGCCAAAGAGGAGGCATGTGATGCTGAGCACTTCTGTGATGTCATTGACTTTGATGTGCAAAAAGATGTGAAATACTTTGCCCAGTTATGGGAGGGAAGTCCTCCGATGGCTCCTCCAAATCCAGGCTACAGCGAGAGCATCCAAGAGCTGAAGAACATCATCCGGTCTAAGGCTAAATGCTCTCCTGGGATCACTCTCTCACATTTCAAAAGTAAAATTCATGACCTCTGGAATGCCCTGATGAATGAAAACTTTGTTTTCAGTTTCAAAAACACACTAGAAATTGCAATTTACAGAAGACTTGAGGTCCAATATGGGAACTGGACCTGGGCCCTGAGGAGCAACATGCTGACCATTGAAAACAAGCTTCATACCAGAATTGAAAATGGAAATCTTGACACAGTTGAACGCAGTTATCTTTTAAAAAAAATGAGCAAGTCACATGAAAATGTAGGAAAAAAATTGAAAAACTTCTTTGAAAATGACAAAGACAAAGAAATCTTGGTTCAGTGGCGAGGTCGATTTGAGAAAAAAATACAAGATTTCCAAGAGGAACTAGTGAGAGGAGTGACAAAAAAACTGGATGAAGTTATCCAGCAGAAGAAAGCTTGCAAAAAACTGGATGAAATGAAGTCGGAGTTTGAAAACAAATTACTTCAAAAGAGCAAAGAGCTCGCTCATCATTTTAATGCTGATTCAAAAAATGAAGAAGAACTTAAAAAACAGTTCAATGATATCTGGAGTTACTGGGTTAAAGAATTAACTGCAGATACAAAACCCATTGAGGACATTCAGCTAGAAGAGGATAAGGAAAATATCCTTCAAGACCTTGGTTTTGAGTGGGCTCTTATAAATGAATCTAAAACAAGTGGCAGATATAGCAAGATATCTGTGATTGGTAATTACTTTGTATATATATTTGTCAAGAAGCAGCAAAGTCTTCAGTGTGAGGACCAAGAACTAATCAGATCCCTCATAAGAAATGTTGAAAAAGAGTCTCTTGATGCAGTTATGAGCAAACCTGTAAAAACAAGAGGCTACAGTCCAATTTACATACAAGAAGTAGCTAAAAATGTTCAAGAGAAAATTACAAAGTTCAAATCAGACAAGAGGTATGATTTCAGGAAGGAGTTCACAGTTGATCTCTTATTGTATGTATTTGACAGGGTGGGTATTTGGCTTTCAGAGTCCCACAAAATATACAAGATGAACAACAATGTACTCACTTATTTTGAAAATAAGAAAACACAATACTACAACATTTTTAGAAGCTACTGTGAAGGAAACTCATCTGCTGTTGTGTTTGGAGAAATGATCTGTGGAAAACTGAAAGTTTCCATTGTTGAGGCTGTCTGTAACAAGACCGCCATTGATCTCGCTGGACAGATGAGGTGCACTTTTCCAGTATTCTGTGGAAACAGACTGAACTTAGAGAAACATTTGCTGAAGTCACTTGCAGAGAAAGAGGACTTTGATGCTTTCATTACCTATATCCAAAACCCAAGGCAGCAAGTAGAGGCTTTTATCAAAGAGAGAGTAAACACTTACATGTTCAGAGAATGCAAAGTTAAAGCATTGGATATACTCGAGAGAAATGTGAATTACATCAGTAAACTTGTATGTGACGCTTTAGATGATGCAACAAATAACGTCAAAACCCAAAAAGGAGACATAGATATGTGGGCAAAGGAGTTTTCCAGTTTCCTGAAAGACAAACTGACTCTTGATGCCATATCTTGTCAAAACTTCAGTGACATAAACAATTTTGACTTTCTTAAAGAAGAGATCAAGAAAAGTCTTGAATCCATCAGAAAGGAGATGATCCAGAAAAAAGATGAGTTGCTTGACAAGATAAAGGAATTCAGACATAAACCTGATCAAATCCTCATCGATCAGCTGTGTAACTGCTGCTGGAAAACCTGCCCATTCTGTGCAGCTGTTTGTACCAACACTGTTAAAGATCACAGTCCTGATGACCACAGTGTCCCCTTTCATCGATCTTCTAGTGTCAGTGGTGTGCACTACAAAAACACTGAGATAATGAGTATTGAATTCTGCACAACATTGGTTGCAAGTGAATTAGGTTTTTATCCTAAAAAAGATGCAGATGACATTATTCCTTTTAAAAAATACAGAACTGCTGGGCCAAGGTATGCTAACTGGAACATTACTCCTGATGAGTCTAAGCTGAAGTACTGGAAATGGTTTGCTTGTCGATTTCAGAAGGAACTGGAAGACCACTATGGATACAAATTCACAGGCCAAGGTCAGATTCCCAGTGAGTGGAAAACATATACTAAAAAGCAGGCTGTTCAAAGTCTGGATGAAATGTACATTGCAAATTTAGAGTGAGTCAACACAGTTTTCAGTCAACAAAAAAAGATCACAGCTATTTTATGTAATTATTCACAAATCATATAAATTGACAGTAATATATTTTACTGATTTAAATGTGCAGAATCAATAGACAATTAGACCGGTATAAGGAAACATGCCTTAGTGACATGAACGCTCACAAAGGAGAGCACATTTTAAGAATGTAATAAGGGAAAAAAGCAAATCTGTTGGCATTAATCAAATATCAATACCAACATTCAGTCATCACAGTTGGTCAATGAGAATCGTTAAATAGAGAGAAAGCAATATTTTCTTTATTAACAGAGAGACAGGATTAATGGAATGAATGCATGTAAAGATGATTTTATATTTAATTAAGTAAGCATATGAATTATATGAAACTTAGACATAAAAAGAGTTGTCTTGTGAATTAGACTAAAATGTATTGTCAAAAAATTTATTTTTGTGATAAAGTACATATTTCTTTATGAGAATGTTTATCAAAGTCAAATCAAAGAAGTTTTTTCAGTGTCTTTGTATATGTTAATATCTGGGTCGTAGTTCAAAACAATAAAGAAGACAACAAAACACACAAAGGGATGTTTTGTGTGTGAACTGTTAATTTCATTTTAATAAACATGTCTGTTTTTTCTTTATTACAATCTTAGTTTTTTCTTTTTAAATTACTGACCTACTTACACTTTCAGAGTTCAGCTTCTGACAGCCAACTGCTGAGAGTCCCCCCCTCCTTCCCTTGGGTTGTATCTACTTTCCACTATAAATACGTCCCTTTGTCTCAATTTCAGAGTGTCACTAAAAGATGGTGCTTTCTTTATAAAGCTTCTACTTGGATAGTTAGCTAAAGATGATTTTTTTCAGTATTATTGTAGGGTCTTTGCCTTATTAAACTAATTTTTTCATTTAGCTACTTCTTCAGACCTCTCAATTATGAGCATGTCCTTCATTTTTCCTGTTAGCTTGCAACTTATTTTTTTATTTATTCTTTAGATTTCTGTAAATCTTTTATATTGTGGAAAACTCGTGAGCAACCCATAATTTCTCTATATTTTGCATTAGTGTCCAAGCCTAGTTTTTCTTTTTCTAATTGCTCTTATAAAAAAGTGTTTCAAAGGTGTTCTTTGTGTTGTGCAATCTACTTCTGGAAAGGAAATGGCGTGTCACAAATTTAGAGGATCATCATTTAGCCTGGAGAAATATTTTGTTGCTTTATAAGAAAGTCCTCTGCAAAGCCAGAAGATCTTACAATTCATCACTGATTGAAGAAAATAAGAACAACCCTAGGTTTCTCTTCAGCACTGTAGCCAAGCTGACAAAAAGTCAGAGCTCTGTTGAGCCAACCATCCCTTTAACGTTAACTAGTAATGACTTAATGAGTTTCTTTACAAACAAAATTTTTATCATTAGAGAAAAAATTACTCAAAATCATCTCACAGATGTAATATTACCTACAGCTGCTTTCAGTACCATTGATATTCATTTAGAGTCTTTTTGTCCAATAGATCTTTCTCAGTTAACTTCAATAATTACTTCCTCCAAACCATCAACGTGTCTTTTAGACCCCATTCCTACAAAACTGCTCTAAGATGTCCTGCCATTAATTAATGCTTCAATCTTAAATCTGATCAACCTATCTCTAATGATCGGCTATGTACCACAGGCCTTCAAGCTAGCTGTAGTTAAAGATTTATTTAAAAAGCCATCTCTAGACTCAGCTGTCTTAGCTAATTATTGGCCAATCTCCAACATTCCTGTCATATCAAAAATCCTTGAAAGAGTAGTTGTCAAACAGCTAACAGATCATCTGCAGAGGAATGGTTTATTTGAAGAGTTTCAGTCAGGTTTCAGAGCTCATCTCACCACAGAAACAGCTTTAGTGAAGGTTACAAATGATCTTCTTATGGCCTCTGACAGTGGACTCATCTTTGTGCTTGTGTAACGTTAAACAAAACCATGTTTAAAAGAATAAACATGGTTTTGTTATGGTTAAATTCCTGTTAAACTTGGGATCGCAACCATGGGTTTATTTTGAAAGATTTGATTCTGAAACTTTTATTTTGAAAATCCACAGCGGAAGTCTGCTACTGGTAAACTGGTTTTCCCAAAACTTATCCCTTTAGTAGCAACGAAGCTTTTGCTGTGGTAAGTTCTTCCTCAGTCCGCCCAGATTGAGTATGAGTTAAAAACATATTTGAAGATCTTTATTGAGGTTAACATAACAGTGCATTAACAGCATGAAGTGCCCATAAAATAGCATGTGGTTATATTTCGGTTTTATGATCTTGTTTTGAAATTAATGGGTTAGACAGTAGGAAAAAATGGACGCACTGAGCTAGCGGCTAACAGCTAGACGAGACTGTCCTGTCTAATAATTTGAAACTTCTCTTGATAGTTTGGGCGGAATCCTGTTGCTGAAAACTCATGGTTACACATGCCCCATGTTACTGCAGTTATGTGTATTTTGAAACATTTATTTGGTTGATGTACAGGTTAATTCTGTTTAAGAAATAGTGCTTATTAAGTTTTGTCCAGCAGATAGCAGCATTGATTCCATTTACCTTTATACATGAAAGGAAATTTTGGCTTTTGAAGTTTATTTATTTTCACATGAATATGAATGTGCATTTAAGTGAATTTATTTTTCTTTTTTTTACCTAAATCACAATGCAGTAATATTTTTATTTTTTTCCCATAATAAGTTTTGTTGCCATTTTATTTTCCAATCAAATTTTGGTTTTTATTTATTTTGAGAAAATTAAGAGTTCCACTATACGATCATTGTTTTTCCAAAATAAATAAACTTATCCCGAAGCTTTTGCTGTGTTTGGGCAGAATCCTGTTGCTGGAAACCCATGGTTACACATGTCCCATGTTATTGCAGAGACCCACAAAAGGGGAATAAACCGCACTTGAGCTTCACCCATCTCGATTCCAGATAGTTTTACTCATACAGCACCGGAGATAGCGACTAAGAGGGGCTTTACACTTGTCCTCCCAGACCTCAGTGCAGCATTCGATACTGTTGACCATAATATCCTATAAGAGTGATTAGAGCACGCTGTAGGTATTACAGGTACTGCGCTGCAGTGGTTTGTATCATATCTATCTAATAGACTCCAACTGGTGCATGTAAATGGGGAGTCCTCTTCACACACTAAGGTCAATTATAGTGTTCCACAGGGTTCAGTGCTAGGACCAATTCTGTTTACATTATACATGCTTCCCTTAGGCCACATGTGTCAAAGCCCGCGGGCCTTGAGATCATTTTATATAGATGTACTATTATTGTTATGTAGTGATGGGCAGATGAAGCTTCATGAAGCACTGAAGCTTTTCATCCAACTGGTTCACCCCAGCGCAAAGCTTCTTGAAGCTTCATTTGCTCTAGTAGGACACCTACTGGACGTAAAAATATTAGTTGGCATGAATTTGAAGAGTGCGGCCTTTTGCACACAGCCTGTAAATGTCAACAACAAAAGGAGTGTGTAAAACATCTATATTCAGATGGGGAATGAGGGAATGAAATCAATTTAATTGCCATGTTAGATCTGTTCAACTCCTGGCTCCGCCCAGAGCCTGCTTCTGCAGAACTATCTAGAAACAAAATCTGTATTAATATGAACTTCACATATAGAAAAACGCCTCTTTTAAATTTTATTTCCCCCTGTTTTTCCCTCACTGACCACAGCAGGGGAATCTATGTTTTGATTCAGCCATGAATCCAGCTCACCTGATTCCTCACTGAGCCCCACCATCACTGGCATCTGACAGGGAGGCGCTGCATATTCTTCCTTTAATGTTACTATTTTCAATCTGTTAATTAGAGTGCTTAAACATCAAATAGGCCAAGTCTATAACAAGTCAATACAGCTGTAAATGTGGCCAATTATCAATCTATTACCAATCCACAACAAAAGATAGCTTTTATTTTATGCTTGCTTTTAGTCAAACACTCACCCAGAGGATCTTCAATCCCAGAAAATTCCTTCTCCTCATTTAATGAGTCTGTCCTCCTTCCATGCCCTGGTAACTGGTCCATCCAGGGCCATATCATCTTGAAATATACATACAACAAGCCAAACCACACCTTGGTCACACCAACCCTTTTCCGCCCCGAAGATGTCCAACGCCATCTTAGTCTGGACTGTCAAAGGTGACTTTAATGCTGACTGTTCCGACAATCCATTTTATAACATTTCCTGGTCAGATTAGCCAATCTCTGCACACTGGAATAAACATAATCAACATGGTCAACACTTTTCCTGCGTGTGATTTCACCATCTTATCGATTCCAACACTCCATCCTTATGTGGTTTGCTACATTATGTTTATCTAGAATAGGGCTGCCACAAACGATTATTTTGATAGTCGACTAGTCACCGATTATTTTTGTGATTAGTCGACTAATCAGATCATCATCCATTGGACGTAAAACGTACAGCTTATTGCACCAG